TACACCCACATTAATCAGCAGCAAATCCAATACACGCTATCTATATACTAAACTAAACATTGAAAATAAAATATTAGAAACATCGCGTATAAAATGTACGAAAATGATGTGGACAAGGTAAAATATATTATTTGTCTGAGTAACAAAATTGTGCTGTTAGAGACTGTGTAATTTCCCCCTAATGTTACAATGGGAAATTGGCCGAGAGGAGAATTTTCGGTGTTATACATGGTGTGTTACCGCTGTGGAAAATTATGAACATTGATCACGAACAATTTACTTATAGACAATAGGGAATAAGTCAAGAATTACTTCTTTTCAGAAAACGAAGAAACGTTTCGTTTCTTGTACGACTGTTATGAATTACGGATTAATGGGGCTAACTTTAGACCAGAAATAGCACAACAAAAACGCATTTTTCGGCGATGAAAACTAATGTAGAAAAACATTTAGGTAGGTAGGTCTACCAGGCATCTGTCAGTTTTCTACAGCATAGCTTATGAGAGAAATAATCGAAAATCCGCCAAAATTAACTATATAATTATTGACCGGCGCACCGATTATAGACGTACATAAATAGGTACATAATATGATATAATAATATGAAATGTCGATTAATCATAACACACACACACACACACACAAACATACACACAAAGGAACTATAAAAACGTAATGATAATATTACATAGTTGGGTTTTGGTATATAGGTAGGTACAACTAGTATACTACAGTCTACAATATTTAGTATTTAGGATAACATTACAATAATATTATACAATTTAAAACATACATATTATAATATATATAGGTACTTAAAAATTGTCTAGGGTTCATATTATTATTATATAGTATTAGATATAGTTATATAAACGAAGAGCCACGCAGGGCCGAGGGAGGGAGAAACGGTGTGTAAAACCGAATAAACAGGGGAGGGAGACACTATATAATAATATGTAGGTATATTATAGTAATAAAATTATGATATATTCTTATAAATTTATAATATGTTATTTCTAGGTAACGTAATATTGTCTATTATATAATTTTTTTTAAAAGCACCGGTGGTCACTACACACACACACACACAAATACACACACACAAACACGCGCAAGTGAACATTATTATGGAAATCCCACCCACCATTATGTACATGACGTACCTACTCATCCCATAATGATTAAAATTTCCGAAAAAAAAACATGAAAAAACCCAAGGTTTTCCGGTTAAATTTGAAAAATGTTGGTTGAGTTTATATTACTTTCCTGTAAAACGGTTTTTTGGAAAAAACACTATTCTCCAGAAAAAAATCAAAAAAATAAGTAAAAACTATTGAATACCAACACTTGTGGTTTTTAGTTGGAATGAATTTCGAATTTTTAAAAAAAGGGTGGTACCCACCTGATGATTGACCTACCAACACGTTGTATATTATTATATTACCTTCTCCTGTGTTAGCCATCGGCGTCAAGAATCCACGGTCAGACAACTGATGGCTTTTATAGTAGGTAATATCATTATGCTTTCAAAAGACTCTGTGGGAAATCCACTGCACAATAAACTCCTTATTCGATCCTTATAAACTGTAATCACAGAATGCGTAGGTAACTGTTATTCGGTATGCTTTAATCATGGCGTTTTTCGTCCAACTTTAGGTACACTCGGCACAGAGGGACGATATACCATGTACGCTTACTCATAGTGTGCACTTGTGTATAAAACATGAATATATTATATTAAATTAGGTAGATTAATTGACTTGGACGCGCCCAGGTCGAGGGTATAATAATATTATATACAAAACGCGAATCGTTTTGGGAATTTTTTTTTTAGTTTAATACCGATACAAGAGTACAAAAATACCGAGTACAAAATAATCCGTTCAATTTATAACGTCTTACAATAAAAGCGTGGGTGCACCGATATATTGATATATTATTATTAGGTATTGTACACAGACTCTTCAAAAATTCAGACTTTTACAAAATACAATATGTTTCACACCACAATAGTTTTATTATTTATCGAGTTTTTCTAGCATGGGACTAATTATTATTATTATTTTTGAAACGTTATTCTTTTACGGTTTTTTGTACAAAAATATTCGTATTAGAGTAGGCATAATATTATCGTTTATCAGACGAAGAAACAAAACGTGTCGAGAATCGAAAAAAAATAATACAAAACGTTACATAACTTTAATAATTATTGAGTATTGCATTTATTTTTAGTAAAATGAAAATTTCGAAGTAAATAGAAATTTTTCGGTAAAAATGTATTCATTTCGAAAGTTTTTATAATATTATGTACAACTGCTTGTGTACAAAATATCGTCTAGATACTCTATAATACATTACTAAATGGTATATCAAATGGTCCTGTTCCTTGCAAGACCGTTCTAGTAAATATACATTTCGATAATACTTTATTATGTCGTTTGAAAACTATTGGAAGTATTTCGAACCTATTAGAGGCGTGTGTCCCCATTCGTTCCGAATCACGAGCACCCATAATATTATAATGTAATAATAAACATAATAAAAAAATAATCGATTAATAATAATCAATAAAACGTCCGAAACGCCACTTATATGCGTAATATTATAATATCGTATAAAGTGTAATAATATGTATTGTTTGTGAGTATATTGTGGTGTACGGAAACAAAAAATTATTACCCATACTTATGTTGTGGTAAAAGAAAAAATTCAGCCTACAGCAAAATGTTATGCGATATAGTTTATCATGTACTCATCTACAGTGTCCATCTATATTATGTTATAGACGTAACAAGTATAGGACATATTTTGTCCTTATATTGTTGTATTATATAGGATCGCATTTACATTACATGAGGCACGCATATTATAAGGAGAAATATTAAAAATTATCATCTTTAATAAACAAAATTGAAAATATTGTCAACTTAGGGTTAGAGGACGTAATTACAAAAGTGTTTGACAACGATCTTTATAAGAATCACGAAAGTCTTCTATGAGTGGATATTATAATTTCGATATGACATTTTTTTCTTTTTTTAAACTTAACAGGTTAGGGGGAGTGTCTTTCTTAACCCTCCCACCATATACTTTCTCGCATTGTACTTATCGTAATATTATTATTGTTGAAGGAGGACTCGTGATCTGTGCCGAAGGACGTAGAGGCCCGAGAGGTTCGTATGTATATTGAATATTAATATATTACATTAAATATTATAAATAGGCTTGTGTTAGAGCAATAACATATAGTAGTGTATAGATAAAAATTAATAAAAATGGATAGAAATCATCGAGAGGAAAAAATCGACCGGAGATATGTAACGGAGTGATATGTGGCGTAAAATTTGCAGGAGACGATATAACCACGAAATAGGGTTTGGCGGGGACAATAACGAACAATGCGTCGTTATACATGGCTCACTATAAATTAGGTATATTATATATTATATATTTACATCTATGTTACCAATTTTAATATTGGTTGTTCGGGTATCGTAAGGTTATGGGTTCACGTCAACACAGTTTCTTGACCGGAGTCGAAGTGACCGCGACAATCGCGTGGTTATTAATGGTAGGTATATTATTACGTGTCGACATGTGGTCGATATGATTATTATTCGAGTAGGTAAGTAATACTATTATTACTGTACATTATACAACAACGATTATTCCATCCGACAATACAACAGAAACGGACGGAATTTCAGGCAGCAGTATTTCGTTGGTGTATGTATTACCTATATAATTATTATGTCAATCGTCTACTAAAGAATATAATAATGATAATAATTACGACTGCAAATGAGTCCTCTTCTAGATAAATACTATGCAACAGAGAATTTCACATAAAAAGTTTATAATAATACTCTTCGGTCGTCATGAACGAACTAGCTGTGTAAATAGAAGCACATAAGCAACAACTGTGAAACTATAACTATGGATATCGACAGACACCTGTTTGATGGTCTATCGATCTGCGATCAACAGGAGGATTTAACACAGAAATCGTGATATTTAAGAAATATAGTATACCATTAATTATAGTTGTATATAGTTATTTTTAGGATATAAATATAAATTATAAATCGAATTGATATCGGTTAGGGACAATATTATTATTGTCTATATTGAGATGAAATTTTTTCTGCTCTCAACTATTAATTTCCTATATATATATATGAAATAACAAACATTGGACCCGAAGCGTGAACTCTATATATATATATAAATCTATATAAATTGGTCCAGGAACAATCGTTTCACATGCAAAATTAACAACCGTTAAAACACCACAAAAACATTCGATCTCGATTCATTGGCGGAAATCAGTTGTGGCGGTGGGTGGGGTGGGAATGGTTGCTTGGATGGCATAGTATCTCCCTAAAAGTCGTCCTGGCCCACTTTAAAACGACTGGAAAAATGATTTTGATATTTTAGATTTACAAATCTTGTCCACATGGAAAACTGTGGTAAATCGGTAAATGCTTAATCAAAATAATAGCAGGTGTGACTGAATATTTAAATAATTATTTCGACAGAAAATAATATTCTTTATTTTCATGAACAGATTGTGTGAACTCGAATCACGACCACTGCACCTTATAGTGTTCTATAACACTTAAGATATATCAGTGCTAATCCAAACCTAACCTAACTATAAGGCTGTTGCGATCGGACTTGACGTATCGGAGTGCTTAAATGTAAATTTTGAAGTTTTCAATATTATTTAGTACGCAATTTTAGCACCGTTTTTCCAACAAAACGACATTTTTTTTCTTAGGTATAGTTATTGTAAGTTGTTAGTTGTTACCATCCCTCCTCCACCACTTGGTACCAATTTTACCAGACTTCCGCCCATGTTTCGATCCCAACGACGGCATATGATAAACATACACACACACACAAACACACACACAATATTTATATTATATTTATCACAACAAATATTTAATAAGCAATTTATCTATTTATTGTAATGACGATTCGATGAGTGACCATCATCAGACGTAACTCTCGTGCGGCTGATGGAGTTTCAGTATGCCCGCCGTGGTGATGTTCAACCGCTTGATGATGTGCCGGCCGCCACCGCCGGACGTCCGGTTGCTAGGCTCGACCCGAGATACGACGGTGACGCCGTTGTGCTTCATCCGGGCGTAAACGTTGGCCGTGGCCGCCGACGTCCTCCGGTCGCTGCCACCCCCGTCGCTCTTGACGCTTGACGAGGCGGTGGTGGTGGTGGTGGTGGTGCCGCCGGTGGCCGAACCGCCCGCGTGCGCCGACGTCGTGGTCACCGTGCCCTTGCGGCCCAGATGTCGGTTGGCCCACGGGCCGCGGCGCAGGCCGCACAGCCGCCGGAACCCGTCCCGGAACTTGGACGACATCAGGTTGTACAGGATGGGGTTGAGTGCCGAGTTTATGTACAGCATGATCCGGCTGAAGAACAGCAGCAAGTAGAAGTTCTTGACGCCGAGCATCTCCATGATGTTGTAGTGGGGCGGCGCCAGGATGATCCACAGGATGAGCGCCCGAAACGGCAGCAAGCACATGAAGAACGACACGACCACGGTGCCCAGCATGAGCACCACCTGCCGGCGGTACCGGAGCGCTGCGCGGTTGGTGTTCGGCGCCACCGTTCCCGGGTTGGCCATCAGGTGCCGGGCGATGATCACGTACAGCACGGACAGCACGAACAGTGGCACCACGAAGAACACCGATATTGTGCCGACGAAGAACATCACCGGCCACACGGTGAACGCCTCGGTACGGCACACCGGCACTAGCGTACCGTCCACGTACTCTTCCCAGTGGTAGTCGGGCAGTCTGAGCATCGGGCTGCGAACACAAAGAAAAAACACACGTGCGCGCGCCCACGACCGACGTGGCACGCGTCGCACGTGCGCGTCAATGATTAGTATATTGTGTCGTATAAAATGTCGTTTAAGCTGCAGCAGTGCACATCATATACAATGCACATCATGTCTTGCAGCAATGTCGTAATATTTGTGTGTCACTGCGTAATATTATGTTGTCGTCTGAATGGTTATTTTAAGCTGTATTAGACGACATATTATTATATTATAGTTTATAATACAGCGAAACCTCCAAATACCGGACACTCCGGTCGCTGGGATTTTGTCAGCTATTCAGAGATGTCCGTCGGCCGAGTTTTCGCTGTATTATATTCGGACGTTTTTGTGGATAATATATATTATATAGTGACATAATACGTTTTATATATTATGCTCGTTTGATTTAACGCACTGCACTCATTTTTCGATTAGATTTCAAGTTTTACCGAGCTATAAATATCTCAGAAAAACATACCTGGGTCCTGGAGCAAGACATATAATCTCGACATTTTTCAGAGGCAAGCCTAATACTCCACCCACCCACTCGGCAAAACCGGATAAAAGCATTTACTGTCGTGTTCTTAATTACCTGTCATATAGCACATCCTAATATACTACATTATAATCCTGTTACAACAAACTCCAAGGGACTGAATTTTTTTTTCGTAATAACGGCTTCCAAAAAGCTTAATAGCTTTTTGGTAGGGGACTTCTATGACTTTCGTTATAACGGGATTTTTCGTTGTATCGGTATTCGTTGCAACGGGAACTTATTGTATATACTAAATAATTACCCGTTGGCCATTACCTACCACCTCACCACCTCTTGGAAACTCAAAGTCGACCGTCTTGCCTCTCGATTACCCCTTCGTCACGATGTTCTAAATAGGAAAGGGACTGAAAACAGTCTTTAAAAATACCTGTTGATGGCTTTTTGAGTACATATTTTAATGGTATCATAATTTTGTAGTGGAAGATTTTGCGATCGAACTTGAAAACTGAGCTAGATAGCTTACAGCACCGTCGAGTAACAATTTTGCAAAAAAATTGTGTTTGGGTAGAGTACGTTCATTATGTTATTGATCGGTGAGATGACGATATAAAGAATTAGGTAAGTATGTATTTAGTTACAAAAACGGTGAATCGAAAAAATTTGAGTATTGCAGTGCGTTAAAAGAACCGATCGGCATAGTATACATTAACAGTGCGCGTGTCTCCTTTAAACGTAACACAAAATATTTCTATCCAGTGACATGATGTAAATGGAGTTTTTAGGAGAAGTTTGAGAATACGAAAATACAATTTTTTTTGACGATTTTTAGATTTTTCGCCCTTTCGTTGAGTGCACGCGCAATACAAATTTAATTTTATCTATAAAATGGTTACACGTATTTTCAACAACGATTTGGATGGATTGGATTTTCTATAAGTAGTTTTGATTTCTTAACTATGGCTCATAAACCAAAATTCACTTCATAAAGTTAGGATAAAAATACACCAAATCGCATTGAAATTTGGATATTCATATCCACAAATTATCATCAAGATTTAACTTCGTTGAAATTTGTAACTTGTCAATTTTGGGTTTAGAATCATATGGTTAAAACATAAAAGGTCCGAATCGCTTAAACAAATTAGGTCCATCCATAAATCTAGTTTTGAAAATACGCTTTGATGTTTAAAAAATTCATATTCTATTGCGCAAGTGCACAATAAAATTACTAAAAAGTTGTATTTCGTAAAAAATGTGTATTTCAGAATTCTCTCACTCTTCCCGAAAACCCCATTTCAATTCGAAGTCACTGGACAAAAATATTTCATTTAAAGTTAACACACTTAATCTCTGTATAATTAAAACGCAGCTTAAGTAGGACCTTTTGTGCATGTATATAATATAATAAATATTTATGTATATAATATAATTGCAGCAGATAACGATAATACATACCAATCTCGATCGCGTTAAACCTAATATTATTTGGAGGGTTCAATATTGTATTATATAATAATTATAAAGAAGTGTGTTGTCGTCACCCTGGGCCCAATTTCTTACAAGCACTACGAATCCTCTGTCCAGATCAGCTCTTGATTTATGTAATTTGAAGCCCGGAGCGATAGAAAAATATATGGGCCTCTTCCTACTTTATGTACATAATATTTTGACGAAACTACTAAAATATATAGTAATACACAATATAGTAATAATACGATATTTTACATTTGTGTTTGATATGGACATATTTTATATTTGAGAAGTAAAAAAAAAAACGATCGTGAAAAAATCGTGAAAACCTCGGAAATACCACCACTCATGTATGAGTTTTTTTTTTTATGTAAGTTTTTTTTTTAACAGTTCGTATGTATTTTATTGACATGGCGTGTTTAATGTCTGCATAAAGATGTACCTATATTGATCACGTCAACACAAAAATATAACTTAGCTGCAAAGATCGCTCGACCAAATAATGAATAATATTATGTGTATAAACACCTGTTTAAATCCCGTAAATATTATGATCGTAAAAACTGGCATGTTCCTGCAGGATTCGTCGTCGCTCAACAGTTAGCCCATACATCGGGCTGAGCACACTTTATCAACGACCTCGGAAATTGGTATGTATTATCGTAAAAATATTATTTCAGCACGGTATTGTTGCAGGCAATCCATGAACTCCGAGTGACAGCCGCCGCCGACAACAATAAAATTATTATAAAATAATATACAATGCATTTGAATAGATTGTATTATACGCCGAAACCATCGACAGATGTCGAGTCGTTCGACTTTAAATCGTGAATATTACGATATAGTATAATAATATAGTATTATGTACTTCCTGCAATGTACCTGCAGTGGCTGTCTCCCGGAGAGCTTCTTTGCAAAACAAGACGAAAATGTATTAATATTATTATAATAACATGTAATATGTATATATATATTATGGAAGTATGAAATGTATAGTAAAATAATATAATGTTTTAATAGTATAAAGTATGATATTATAATATATTATAACGACAACAAGCGATAAGAACCCAAAACCGATTGATCGCACATGATGAGGCAGTTTTAGCAATACGACAGTAAAGTTATAGTATATATATATATATATATGACACGGCCGTAAACTTACCGTGGTTCGGTCAAAGGAATTATTATTGTGTGTCAATGGTTTGAGGGGATAAATGCTCTAAGCACTTCGATGAACTCTTGTTTATAAACTCAGGTCCCAGGGTTGGACCGGAAGTTCGAGACACTGCAGCGAAATTTTCCGATTAGCCGGTGTCAATAATTGTAACTTGTAAGTAAAATCATTTGTAGTGTACAGTAGTAAGAAATCAGAGGGACTTGGTTGATTCAAACTAATATATTTTTATAAATTACAACGAGTCCTCGCGATAACTCGAATAGGTTGGGGGCGAAAAAAAATTCGAGTCGTAGAAAAAAATTGTGTGTACTCATTGAAATGCAGGGTATTCCTTCGAGTTATCGAGATTTCACTGTATTTCGAAAATCAGATACTGTTTGTCGATCGAAATGTTGCCAGCAAAAACCACCCTCAGTTGCAAGGCCGGATTAAGAACCTATTGGGCCCCGGGCTTGAAATTTCATATGGGCCCTTTTGACAAGGCACGCTTTAAAACAAACTGGCTACGCCCGCAGGAAGATACATTTTTCTAACTATTTCATAAATGGCAATTGCATTATAAAATTATAAAATGAATAGGTAAGTATATGTAATTTATATGTCTATAAAATATACAACCACTATTCACTAATTGTAATATAATAAAAGTAAAGACGGCAGAAGCTGATATGTACATTTTACAAACTTAGTTTTGCCGCTACATATATTTTCAAATACCTAATGACTTATTAGTTTTGGTCTTTGAATATAAATGGCACCACACACATAATAGAGACATATATCTTATTAAGTATGATAGAAGAAAATTTTTTTTAAAAAATGAAATATACGATTTCTAAACTATTTAAATGATATAATTGAAAAATTAACAAAATGTACATATCAGCTTCTGCCATCATTCCACAGAGTTAATACTTCATATTTCATTAATTTAAATTCAAATTTACATACCAACTTTTAAATTTATTAACATAATACTTATTTACAACAAATATTAACTAACAGTTATTAAATAACAATAAAATGCGCCTTTCCTACAAAAAGGTATTTACTATTTAGTTGTTTTTGTCGATAAAAAAAAAAAAAATGGTTTTTAAAATATAGAAAAACTATTCTTTAAAATCACTGAAAAATGTGTATCAGCTTAAAATTGTTTGGGCCCCTTTCATTTTGGTACTTGAAAGGGCCCCGGGGGCTAGACCCCCCCTTAATCCGGCCTTGCTCAGTTGTATTGTTTTTTTTTATTTTTGGGTATATATACGTTCAACTATAAATCATGTGGATGTGGCAACTCAAAGTCTGAATTGTTAAATCGGTATATGTTTTTTTGTTCCAGTTTGCTCTCGATAATATCTGGGGTTAGGTTAGGTTAAGGCGAAGGTATAACTCGAGTACCCGACCATGTCATACATATATAATTTTAATACTCGAAAAGTGTTTTTGTCCAATGACTTTATATTTGCGTCATTATACACAATTCAATTGTCGTTTAAACGTCTCAAACGATACGGACGTCACAAAAAACAGTACAAAAGACGAGTACACATCACTCTATTATATAATTAAACACGAGCTGCACTTTTTATTTTAACGGCAGTTATTCACTCGAAAACGAAAACCACACCGATGTTTACTGCGCCGGCCAATTTATAGCAATAGAATTTTTTCCGCAAATTTTATATTACTTTATAATATGCTGGTTACGTATAGGTATATTCATTACATACCTAATCGTAATAATAATAATATACGGTAAACGCCATCGATTGTATTAATATTATTGTTGTTATTATTATTACTATTATAATATGGTTATCGTGTGAATCGTGA